TAGGCATTTTCTTCGAGACAGTATCACTGTCTCACATGCATGCATGCCTGCATGCCTGCCTGCCTGCCTGCCTTCCTTTTTTCTCTCTCTCTCTCTCACTCTCTCAAGTTTTACCGCTGCTTCCATGTATTATATGGCTACTGTTCGTCAGCGAGTTCAGTACGACTCTCATCCCAATGTTGCTGACGAAGTGGGCAGAAAACAAAAGGGAAACTGTCCTGCTTGGAGCTTCTAATCATCACGTATCTTCAAAGATGTTTTTTACTCTGCAGCTTTCTAACTTTCAAAGCTTGCACTACAAGTGCTCAATATATTTTATGGATTCTCTTCAAATCATACCCAACTCACATATTATTCATATCTGTAATAGTTTCAACTGAATTCATTTCAATTTCGATGAACGAGTGTGAGGTCGAGTGGGTAAAAAAGGTACAGTACTCGAAGTAAAAGATAACCAAACCTAGCTAGCTGCTGCTGCTGCAATCCCTACTTGCTACCCACAGGGATGGATAGACCAATACAGAGAGGGTATGCTGAATGAATCATGGATGGGCTGGTTTGGCCCGTCATGCTACTGGGATCACAGAAACGAGTCATATGACACTGATGGCAAAGGAAACTACCATGTACTCGTATTGATCACTGGGTCGAGAACAAGTCGTGAGTGGATTCACAGACATAGCCATGAAATCTTACTCACCCTCGCTCGCAGTAAGCGACAACCTATGAAGGGGACTACTCGCTGTGCCTGTGCATGCGCGCATGGCTCGCATCCTTTGGACAGGATAACTCACTGATCCAAGGATCATGCAGCGATGGAATGGGTCAGGGTTGCCCCGTCCTTGTCTCTTGTTTCGGAAGACACGGCTGACATGGGCATGTGGATCTCACTGTAATCAACCAAGCATGTTTCGAGAGTGATTCCATCAACTTGAATACATCTACTGTGCTCAACAACGCCATGTGTACTCTGTCTGAAGCAGATGATATATTTGCTTGGGTGTCTCAAGAAAATTCATCGTACGTAAGCTTATTTGTACTGTTAGGATTACATGCATGGAATTCGTAGGTAAACTTCGTCCAGCGGTTGACAGTGATGGAGAATATTAGATTTGTAGGACTAATATGTTAGGTCTGATTTCGAAGAGGAGAGAAGGAAGAAGGCACACAGTAATGCAATTATTCTAATTCAATCTAAAATTACAGTAATCTTCTCATTATTTCCTTTTATAATCCCACTACTTTTTAATTCTAATTAATACTTATTTTATTTTCTGAATTATCTTTAATATTTCTTAAAATTCCAACCCATTAATATCAGCGGATAGCAAGCCAAGTTTGGTTTGGGACTCAATTCACCTTCCGGCAATTCAACCTGATCTCTCCGCTTGGTCCTGTCAATGGGCTGATGTTCCCCATCTTCACCATCGCCGCCGCGAAGTCACTTGCAAAGGCGGCAGCGTTGGTGCTGTACTGCCGCACCAGTGCGTCCTGAGAACCGTTGTTGAAGAGCTCCTGGTCTGAGTGGAGGAGGCCTCTATGAGCGACGAGGTTCTGGAAATACTTGTTGTCGAAGGTGGTGGGAGTCTGGAGGTCCAGCGGCGCCAAGTTGTTGTCGCCGCCGGACGACGGGCAGCTCTGCTGGCGCTGCGACGCGAAGCTGGGATCGATGTTGGTGTCGTTGTAGATGTGGGGGCGGAAGCTGATGCACCGCGCCAGGCCGATGGTGTGGCCGCCCGACAGCGCCGTCATGTCCCGGGCGTTCAAGTTCTTGTTGGCGAAGGATGATATGAGCTGGGAGAGGCTGAAGCCGGGGCCTGGGAGGTTGCTGTTGGCGGCGCTTTGGCTGGCGGTGGTGGCGTCCCGGCGCCCCAGTGGCACTGTCCATGTTGGTCCACCAAGCTGCAGAGCATATCATGCATATTCGTCAGCCAAACTACTACTACTACTACTACTCTCTCTCTCTCTCAAACATGTAAAGATACCGACCAGTACTACGCCGTCGCGTGCGGCCAGCGCGAGGATGTCGGCGCAGGAGACGGTAGAGGGGCAGGCCGCTTCGACGCTGGATTTGATGGTGTCGATAACTTCGAAGCCACGGACAGAGTTGGCGTTTGGCATCGCGTTCTTCTCTCCGGTGAACGTCGCCGTGTCATCCAGTAGAATGGATCCATCGCAGCCCTGTCGACCAAAACATATAAGCTTTATTGAGCACTCCATCGTATGCTTCTCCGAGCAAGAATATGAATTCCAAATGGAACAACACAATCAACACCAATATACCCAAATCGAGCCAAATACATTATGCTGATCATATATATATATATATATATATATATATATATATATATATATATATATATGACCATAAGAAGAGAAATGAAATGATGCATACGTTGACAAAGCAGTCATGGAAGAAAAGCCGGAGAATGGATGCGCCCAATCTCTGCTCTCGATTCACTGCCTGCGTCATTCCCGACCGCACGATGCTCTGGAGATTCGGGCATGTACTGCTGTAGAAGGTCGGCGACAACTGCCCATTAATGGCAGCACAGGCAAGCAGGGAGAGGAAACAAAGCACGACGAAGCCATTGCAGGTGGTGGCCATGGTCGATCGACAAGGTCAACGCACTACTACTTAGATGGCCGAGTTGAGATGGGAAGAAGGCCTCGACATAGCCAGTTATATATACTGCTCTTTCTTGCATGTTCCATTCGATTAGACAAGCTTCAAGAAGGGAAGATTGGTTGGGAAGCAAGTCATTATGCATCTCGATGGCCACCTGCAACCACCATCAGAAAGCGGATGCAGACTCGAAGTGAAGAGGAAGCCATGGAACCCATCCATGTCACTTTCGTCGGCTCTCTAGTCCATGGTGAGCACATTCTCATCGAACGTATTCATACTTCTTTCCACCCTAATGTCTCATTCTAAGAGCAACTTCTTGTCACAGAAGTGTTACAGGTGCAGTCTTGCTTGCTGCACATCCTCATCAGGTAGCGCCATGATTAAGTTTGTAGTGAATGGCAAACATAATGGCGATGACCTCGAACTTGTCTGCGGTTCTTCCACGTTAAGATGGTGGAGGAAGAGAGAAGGATAGATAGAGAGAGGAAGCTTAATTGAGGTATTCAGGGTCGGTCACCACACGACATGGCTTAGCTTTTGAAGCAAAGCAAAGATGGAGTTGCTTTATCGATTCAACTTCATGATATTGTGGGATCTTTGAGTGATGCGCGGGTGCAAATGATGCTTGTACATCTAACTCATCACCATGATCTAACTTAGACGGATGAGCCATGCAGTGAGGTGCCTAATGATCAACACAAGGATGCTTCTCGTTACAACACACCACTTGATCATTGGAGTTTGGCGGTAGGACGCCATCAATCATGCTTTTTATTGTAGAGCTCAAGCAAGTAACTTCTGCGTGTGTGTGTACTTGATGTTCCAGGAAAACTTGGCAGAGGACGGAGGTTGTGAAGTCAATTTCTCAAACAGTTGTTATAGAAGAACAGCCGCAGACCTAATGGATTCCGGCAAGGAAGTCAAATTAGTGAGGATTGCCATATATTGCATCAAATGTTAATTCAATCCAAATAGATGTTATCATATCTCCTCGACTATGTCAGGATCGACTTATATTGAGTTAGACATCAATTCAACTCAGAAACTCAAATGAATAGATTATAAATATATCATTGGATTATTTTAATATTTATAAATATAAAATTATTCTCTTAATTTTTATTTAATTTATCGCAACACAACCTTTGGATGCACGCTTGAAGTTATTCCAGAATTTTGACCGAGTTTTGTGGATATGTGATGACAGTTGTGCAGAATGGCGACGGCATGCTTCGACTGTGACAGCATCGTTTTCTGGTTGACTAAGGCATTGCTGCATTTATGATCTTCTTAAGAAGACGCCGTATGGCTCTTCAACTTGGGTAGGCTGAAATAGTTGATCGATGTTGATACATTGATGCTCATGAATTGACTTTACACTCTGTAATTGATAGCATCTATGGATGATAAGTGATGAAGACATAATTTGGGGTCATGACCTTAACATAACTTATCAAAATCCTTTTCCTTTGAAGATAAACTTGATATGATATGAGCTAATCAAACAGTAGGCTTGTCTCAGACACTTCATCGTAGACAAAAGCCTAATTATTACTTGCGTGCTTCACTCTAAGCAAAGCTAAGTAATAATGGGAATGCATTCAACCCATGCGGGTATCAGTTCGCCTTCCTGCAATTTAACCTGATCTGCCCCTTCGTCCCCGTCAGCGGGCTGATGTTGCCCATCTTCACCATGGCCGCCGTGAAGTCGCCGTTGAAGACCGCGGGATTCGTGCTGTACTGCTGGACCAGCGAGTCCTGGGACCCGCCGTTGAAGAGCTCCTGGTCCGAGTGCAGGAGGCCCTTCCGAACCACCAGGTTCTGGTAGTACTTGTTGTCGAAGGTGGTGGGGGTCTGGAGGTCGAGCGGGGCCAGATTGCCGTCGCCACCGGACGAGGGGCAGTTCTGCTTGCGGAGCGCGGCGAAGCTGGCGTTGACGTTGGCGTCGTTGTAGATGTGGGAGCGGAAGCTGGTGCAGCGGGCTTGGCCGATGGTGTGGGCGCCGGAGAGCGCGGTCATGTCCCGCGCGCTCAGGCCCTTGGCGGCGAAGGAGGAGATGAGCTGGGAGAGGCTGGAGCCGGGGCCGGGGAGGTTGCTGTTGGCCGCGCTCTGGCTGGCGGTGGTGGCGTCCCTGCGCCCCAGTTGCACCGTCCACGTCGGTCCACCAAGCTGCACGCAGTACTCAAATCGTTAGCGGCGAACATCGTCGTCGTCATCATCATCACCACCATCATTATCGATGCAGGGTTCATGCGAGACAGCACAACGCGATGAGTCAGGACACGATCGCTCACCAGGACGACGCCATCGCGTGCGGCGAGGGCGAGGATATCAGCGCAGGACACGGTGGCTTTGCAGGCGGCCTCGACGTTGGACTTGATGGTGTCGATGACTTCGAAGCCACGGGCAGAGTTGGCGTTCGGCCCTGCGCTCTTCTCGCCGGTGAAACTGGAGGTGTCGTCCAGTAGTATCGACCCGTCGCAGCCCTGAGAAACCAACAGATGACATGTCTCTTCATCAGCGACCGTAAGCTGTCGATGTAAGGAAGGAAGGAAAGAGAGAAGTGAGGCATACATTCACGAAGCAGTCGTGGAAGAAAAGCCGGAGAATGGAAGCGCCCATCCGCGGCTCCTTGTTCACGGCTTGTCTCATGGCGGACCTCACTATGCTCTGGAGGTTGGGACATGTACTACCGTAGAAGGTCGGTGACAACTGGCCATTAATGGCAGCACAGGCAAGCAGAGAAAGGAAACAGAAGAAGAAGACTCGATCAGAGAGTGTGGCCATGGTCGATCACTTCGTCACCGAAGATGGCTGAAATGGGATGGGATGAGATGAGAGAGCTGCCATGGCGAGATACATATATACACAGCGCCATGGCTGTATGGGTTTGAAAAGTCAAAACGGTGGCGGGCATCAAAGATTGCTGCTTCTCTCCGATGCTGAAGTGGCAAGTCAAAAGAATGGGCATTGGCGGGCGGATGGAGTTCCCAGAGACTTCCTTATCATCATTAAACATGAGGGCCAAATGGACGCTGGCATGAAACTGACCGCTCTCATGCATGCAAGGAAATAACGACAAAAGGATAAGATAAGCTAAAGGCTAGCCGACACAGGTGATCTCGACGATACTTTCCGTCTCATGGATGAGGTGTCCAATTGGAAATCGACTACCCCGACATCAACAACTTGAAGATATTATGAACACAGTTCAATATTTTGACTAGTAACTCTTAATCGTAAGCATCCAAAAATATTCTTGCATGGAGGAGGAAGTAATGCTGGTTAAGAACCAAAGAATGAGCAAGGGTTTCTTGTTCCCTCTATCTGTCGTTGTTACTGACCAGACCATCGGACTGGGGGATTTGACTGAGTGCGATATGCATGAAAGTGAGGTACCAGATAGTTTTAGTCAGTAAAAAAATTCTTCCTTTTCGTTGGCTCGCTCAATAATGCCTGGTTAATTAGCTCTTCCGAAGAGGTCAAAGTAGCGGAGAACAGAAGCAGGAAGGAAGAATGATCAATCATCCATCCTTCATGCCTGCCTCTGACTCGACTACGACAGCTAATTGCTGCACGCAGTTTGATGCTTATCCATGGAAGATTCGTTTGTGGAGGATAGTCTCCTGTATGGTCTTCTAAGAAAAGTGATTTTATGTTCAGGTCCAAAACAGGAATATTGCACATTGAAAATTGATGGACATGAGTTTCTAGAATTCAAAAAAATTGGAATATTGTACATTGCAAAACTGAAATAGGAAGACAAAATTGATGGACATGAGTTTCTAAAATTCATAAAATTTGGCATATGATGCTATGTGTATGAATTTCAAGAAAAAAGGTAAAGCCTACATGGCTATTGAGAACCAAACGAATCAAATCAGATGTTCTATTTCTCAATCTTTCTACGGAACTAAAGGATTAAAAAAGTGAAAAATTAGGATTAGTAATCCTTTTTAGAGATCGAATGGATTCAAGAGATTAACGGCATGCTAAGCACATCATAAATATGACTTCCATAGAATATACCTCTTAAAATTTCTTGTAGGTTAAGCTGTGGACAATTAACAAAGCTGTTGATATTCAATGTCCACAAAAATCACGACGGCAGAAAAATAACAATCTTTACTACTAGAATCACAAAATTGTCTGGGTCTCAAAATTGGAAAAATAGAACAGTTTTCTTAAAGAACTACTCTGATGAAGAAAAAAAACACTGATGGGAGCTGATCCGACCACAAAAGAAGTTCCAAAGTTCAGTCATACCAGAACCTATGATGTGGTTCCCTGAGCCTTGTTAAGGATGACACCCTCGTATTTCACCTGAAACCACTTCATTGAATCCTCCTTGGTCACTCGGTGCTGAATGCCAACACGGGACTTGCATCGGCGGCGACGGCTCACTCGATATCCGGCACGCTCTAGGACAACATAGAAATCCATGCCATAGATACCCGTCGATGGATCGTACCTGTGAAATTGACATGAAACATTCAGTAATTGAAACAAAGGAGACGTTATAAAACACGAGGAATGACAAATAAGCTAATAATCACCCTTCTAACAAATTTTAAGACCTTGCTAATCCTATTACTACTTTGAAATATGTATGCCATGGTGCAAACAAGAATTCTATTCAAGGACTCAATCAAATACCAAGTTTCACAAAATAAGTTTTCATGAATTTTTGCGGCAATTAAAATTTGATTTATGTGCTATCAACCCCAAAATAGTAGATCCAACTTGGAAAGTAAATGACAAGAAGAGCTAGCAGGGTTTTAAACCCAACCAGTTTTCTCAAATTAAAGACTGCATCAGAGTCAGTCAACTTTATTCTTTTGCTCACCAAGAAAGCTCTAATTCAGAAGAGAATGGTAAATGTAAACTGTTTAATATAATCAACCCAAACAAGGATGCCATGTTACATGAAATCATGGCCAACCATACTTTTGCAGCAATATCACTTCTCTAAAACTGTAATCTCCACCTACACCAGATATTGGAGTCCATTACCGAGCAACCATTTCATCCATAACAAAAACTCCCCTCCATATGACCTACCTAGCAACTGTCAAAGAAGGAAAACAAACCATTTCAGTAACATCTCCAGCTTATCTTAATAAAATAGAATCTTGTTGACACCTGTGATACACACGTGATGGCCTATATAGTCCCTCAACCACATGATTTCTTCCGGATATGCTACAAGTTTTGACTGAATGAAACATTCTGAATGTCTATTTCAATACCACAGCAACTACATTTTCCCTCAATCATAAAATTGTTGTTCTTTCCTGATAATCAGCCTGTCAAATGATACTTGTCATAGCCATCAAAAATCATTCTTGCCGGCTCATGCAGCTTATCATATCAGTGTCATTCCCAAATATCGATAACAATCACGTGCATCGCAGATGGCCAATACATGACATTGTTGAAAAATACCATGTCAAGTGCAATAGTAAACAGGTGACAATACATGCCCAAACCGTGGTGCATATTAATCAGTGGTCACATTGTAAATAATATAAGCAATTATTATCTTCCCATGGATGGACATATTTACTGACTCCAGAAAGAAACTTGCTTTATGAACACATTATCTCTGTAGGACAAATGTAAAGGGTAGTACCATATACTGTAAGTTACAACCCAAAGCTTAACATATTTTTCACCGTGATCTAAAATACTAATTATATATTGATTATGCTTTACAATGTAACTACCTTTTCCTTGTTTCCAAATTTACCCAAAGGGTCATATATTATTTCCACTTACAGAATACATTAGCAGCCTATGTGTATTGACGTGGATCACGATCAGAATAATAATTGTCATTTGTGCCACCTAATGTGGAACACACTAAAACACTGACAGATGAAATAAAAGTGTAAGGGTTAAAAAACAAAGACATCTTGTGATCTATATTCAATTTCACTAAGTTCACAGGACAAGAAGTGCAATAGTTTACCATGAAGTATGATACCTCCAGTCTGAAGTGTCAATTTGCAACATATAAACTGTCACTAGAAACTAAAAAGCTGTAACTAGACTTCGTATACAAAACTTTCCAGAGACAAAAGTACACCAATCACATATCCCCGCATCATAATTGTATCCCCAGTGGTAAGATGAACCATTTAGAGGTTTAGTTAAAACAAAACAAAAGATGTAAGTGTCGTTTTAATTAACAGATGTGATTGATGACTGCAATAAAACATAACATAAACATGAATTCATATTTTTGTACTCTATATTTGTGGTTTTCAAAGGAAAAAATGAAGAAAATAAATAAAAACAAAACTTTCGCTTACTTAATTCCAAGATCAATATGCTCTTGTATGCCAAACCCAAAGCAGCCAGTATCACTGAAGTTTCTCCTCAGCAGCTCATATTCCTTCACCTTCAATCCACTTTCCAGAAGTTGCATTGCCTTGTCACCTCTGACTGTGACATAGCACGCAATCTTCTCATTACGCCTGATCCCAAAGGACCGGACAGTGTACCTAGCTGCAGAGTTATATGGGCAATAAAAGAAAGGCCAAGAGAAGAAGAATCTTGGAACTATACATTCATTTCACGAAACAACAAAATGTACCCTTTGAGAAAACAGGTGTCTGCCCACTCAACTGCTCCAAAACCTGCATCGCAAGGGGAAACAGGATATATAACAAAACAACCAATCGCCATTCTAAGGAATAAGATACCCGTAAGGACTAATACACACAGATCCAACCCCCATAATCTGCAATACATAGAGAAAGTACCTTAGCGGCCCTGGTGAGGCGATCACCGCTCTCGCCGACGGAGATGTTGAGTACGAGCTTCTGGACCTTGATCTCTCTCATCGGGTTCGACAGCTTCTTCTCGGAAGCCTGTGCCGGAGGAGAAGAATAATTCCATCAGAGGCGAGAAAGAAGGAGAGAGTAGCACACAGAAGAAGAGACAGAGAAAGAGAGAGAGAACGGAAAACCATTGCTACAGGGAGATCGGCCGAGTGGAGAGGCGGCGTCGGAGTCGCAGCAGCTCGCGCGGCGGAGAGATCGACAGGAACGAGAAACCCTAAATAGGGGAGCGCGAGCGGCTTTTGTTTGATGTAGGCGAGAGCTCGAAATGACGGAAATGCCACCAACGAAGCCCTTCAGTAGACTAATGGGCCTTATTAGGCCAGCCCAAAACGAGTATGAATAGTTAGGATTAAGAATCTATTTTACATGGGATTTCATGGTGATCTACGTTTAATTAATAAGCTTTATTCATTAATTAGTTTGGTATCATTTCAATTACATGAGATTTCATGGAGAAAGAAGTCTAAATATTTCGACCAATTAAATACCTGCTAAGTCAGAACGTTCACTGTCATCTCATGACGACGATGTAGTGGCGCATTGAAGCTTGGATTTCTCTACTTATCCTCGTGGCCTATCAGTTCACCTTCCTGCAACTCAACCTGATCTCCGCGTCGGCTCCCGTAAGGGGGCTGATGCTTCCCATCTTCGCCATGGCGCGGAGCCATCGGTGGTGTACTGCTGCACCAGCGAGTCCTGCGTCCGAATGGAGGAAGCCCTGCAAGGCGAGGAGGTTCCGGTAGTAGACGTTGTCGAATGCGGTCGGGGTCTGGAGGTCGAGCGGAGCGAGGCTGTCGTTGCTACCGGACGCGGGGCAGTTCTACCAGCGCAGCGTCGCGAAGCCGGCGTCGATGTTGGTATCGTTGTAGACGTGGTAGCGGAAGTTGAGGAATCGCGTCTGGCCGATGGTGTGCGCGCCGGAGAGCGCGGTCAGGTCGCGAGCGCTCAAGCCCTTCGCGGATAAGGCGGAGATGAGCTCGGCGAGGCTGGAGTCGAGGGCCGGGAGGTCTATCTCAGACGCGTCCTTGCTGGCGGTGGTGGCGTCCCTGCGTCCCAGCGGCACGGACCATGATGGGCCACCGAGCTGCAAGAAAACTACAGCTCCGTCAACGTAAACCAAGAAGCAGCGACTCCGGTGACGGCTCACCAACGTGAAGTGGAAGCCCATGGCAGGCGCCAAGGTCTAAGGAGGACTAATGGCAAGGTGAGAGAAGTCTCAGGCGCACACTTACCAGAACCACACCATCACGCGCGGCGAGCGCGAGGACGTCGGCACAGGAGACCGTGCCGGGGCAAACCTTCTCCACTTCGGACTTGATGTCGTTGACCACGTCGAAGCCACGGAGCGAGTTGGCATTTGGAATTGCGGTCTTCTCCCCGAAGAAGGTCGCCGTGTCATCCATTAGCACCGATGCAACGCAACCCTTGAGAAGACACGGAATTAATCGAGCTCTCGTCAGCACCTTATGAACAGTGGAATGAACAAAACAAGGTCAAACTGCAGCTCAAGGTCAAACTTGAGGACACAATTTGGGATGCAGTACGGAGGACTGGACGGCGCCGATGGCATAACACGATAGAAGGAGAGGAGCTCATTACTCTAGTTAACTATTTATAGCATTTCAATATTTATATTTTAAAAAATTATATTAACATTCATATAATTATGAAAACAAATATATATATATATATCTATTTATCATAACATTATTAGTTTTATCAATAAAAAAGTTAATATTTTAATTGATGACGACCAACGTTAACACTATTATGGGTCACAAGTGACTGTTATAGATGAAAAGAATGACGATAAAAGGTGCAAATCGCACTGTAACTATATCGACATGAACATAGTTATTGAGAAAGAATCGCTCAACATTTGCATTAATACCGACGCAAATACTGAGTGATACTACTTAGTAACTATGTCGATGTCAATACAAATGTCACCTCTCAACATTGCTCTTCTCATCCACAACGACCATTTGCGATCCCAACATCGTCACGGTCTACCACCATTAATTGAAACATTAAAATTTTTTTATCTTTTATTTATATATTTTCGTTTATAAAACCAATGATTTTAAGATAAATGAATCTAAATATTTTAATTTCATAATTCAACATAATTTTTTAAAATATAAAGATCAAGATATCTGAAGATATTTAACTACTAAGGATAATATATAATTAATTCATAAGAGAGTGATAAAGGATTACGGATTCTAATATAATCTAAAGAAAATTGCCACACAACGAAGCAATTATGGAAGAAGAATGGATGCTCCGATCATCCAATCCCAAACAAAGCGTGAGGCAGGGTCTCGAGGAGGCAATGGTCGAGCAAGTCTACACTCCATGACCGCACGAGAAGAGAGACTTGATATGGCCTGATACTTGTGATGATCCTCGTAGAGTATCTGATGAATGCATTAATAGGCGGCTGGTTGACTGTTATATCAAATCACTGTGCCAGAGGCTCCACTTGACTATTGTGTTCAGCAAAAGAGAACAAGAACAGCAAGCTAACCTGGAGGAGGCTATGAGCAGGCAAGACAAAACCATCAATCACGGACTTGGATGGACAGGACTAAACAGATTGCTTTATCCAGGTCTCTGTTTAATGAAACTTCAAATGTATATATTTGAAGATATGACCATAATCTTTCGACATCAAATGCATTATTGGACAAAGAAAAATAACTACAGGTGCAGAGTGAAAGATGTGAGTGGCAATATCAATCTGAACTGTATCTTAGCTAATTAGGGCGATGGCATATGCAATCAAATAATACAACAATGAGGAAAGCAGAGGGAGACAATATATGGAAACCATTCAAATGATTTGGTTGCTCTTAGTATCTTGCAAACAATATACAGTATGTTTTCATTATCAAAAGACTACTTCAATAATTTCATCCATGTATGAAAGCTAAACTTCATGGTAAGGAAATGTATTCAGCAAACTCCCAAATATTTTTAAGCAAAATATGAATGGTTTCAGCATGACTTCTACCATAACATGAGTGATGTCTCACTTAATCTGCATATTAAAGAAATCTACAGCCTTACCAGCCACCCATTGAATGAGCCTACACCTTTGACGACACCCGTGTTAGCAGAGATGAGCAGTGCGGTGGTGCAGCTACAAGTTTCTATGACTATATGCATCACCTGACGGGTCCTTCAAAAGCTCAGTTTCAAAATCTTGTATCTAGCTTCAACTCTTCCATAACTGACTTCCATCCATTTAGCCAGTTTTTTCTATGCAACTGTGTAAATTTTCAGTATTTTTGATGTGTCACACACAACAAGGTTTTCTGAGTCAGTCGGAGTAGTACACAGCCAATTGACCTGCCACGACAAGTTACTACTTCATGTAGAAAATACAACATCAATTAAGAGCTCTGATAAACATTATAAATGATATTATTAAATATGTAGACTTCTTGTCAACACCGAACAGGATATACAGTTAAAATTATAGAAAAAGTACCATATGCTGACAAAGCCTGCTCTGAGACCACTAGAACAACCGTCTTCGCATGTTGGAAAATCAATGATAGTCTTACAGGTAATACAAAATTGGAAAATAGATGCTCATGGATTGGAGAATTCTCAAAAGTTATTCAAACTTATACTGGCCAAGTGTTTCGAGAGATGAAAAGCTATGCTCTTCAGTATTTGGAGGCTTAGAAGTCACAACAGCTAAAGAAGGTTCCATGTGAAGAGGTTCCAACAAACAAAATCTTATCTGTGGGAACTTAACATCGATAAATATGGAGGGTAGATCAACTTATTGCAACAATTAGTCCGCCAAATGATCGAAAAAATCCTAATAAAGATAAATGTCCTCAACCGACAAAACTCTTCTTAACAATTTCTTAAATAACAAAGTGTGAGTGTCAAATGCTACAGCTTCCTGGGACATTCATCAAATAAGCATATTGATAATTTCAAGTTATTATGTCCTATATTGTAGAAGGTGTTAGCCTGATAGATTTATAGTGCATATGCATTAAAATTCCTGTTATAAGAAAGATCTCTAGAAGGGGGCAGATAAATGTAATTACTTCAAAGAGTCAAAGTGGATTAAGCTTTGTTCACAGTATTTAAAAGTTTGCTTGTCTAGGAAGTTCTTTTTCCTACTACATCCTCGATCGAGGAATGCTCTGATCACCATGAACAGGATACAGAGAGAAAAAGAAGCTACAGGAAATTCTGAGATCAACCTTGATCCCAATCTCTGATTTGGACTTTGGAAGATCATGGGTTAGCTAGCGAATATGGTGTACGACAGCTTTGCATCAATATTAAAACTGTACCATGGCTGTCTGTAACTTCACTGCTAAGTGGGGCAAATCATTGCCAGAAAGTTCAGACAGATTCTGTAGATCAATGAACTAAATGACAGCACATAATATTTAACTCATCCTGGAAATGGAAAGGTCATGTAAAGCCAGTTGTAATTAAGTGTTGACAAATCATTTGCCCCTTTAATCAGAAGAGCAACAAAGCTTTCCTTTATTTGAAGCTTTAGCTAAGTAAGGTCGAATATGCCTGAGCATAATTGTTTTATGTTACAGATTGAAATTTAAAAAAAAACCATAACAAAGATCATATATAACAAATAAATGTCCCATGGCTAGAACTGTCTTTTGGTCAAAACTTTCTTCTAAAATGAGTCAAACAGAAAAGTACTCAGTCCCTCGGTATTGAGTTGTATCTGTCTACCAAACCACCTCAAATTATAGACAATATGACACATTTATATCATCCATTGTGGTAAAAGATTGAGATTGCCAATATAATAATGAAAAAAAGAATTACATGCAACATGCCTTAATGAATGATAAAATAAAAATATTCATACATGTTCAATCAATAACTAACAAGACTTACAGGTATGATGCAGATGCTTTACCTTTCTGTTCATGTTAACAGTCAAACTTAAATGAGTGCTGCAGCTTGCTTGTTCAGGATAGGAACATTTAGACCAATCCCACAACTTCACTGATGCATCATTTCCACCTGAAATTAGAAACTTTCCACGCTCCCCGAACAAGGAAAAGGACCTGTACTAGTCAAGAGTTTAATTGTTATAAATTTATAGTGGCGAACATCATCATTACGAATGAGACTTGAAGTACTCACACACAGGATACACCAGCAGTATGCCCTCCCAAACTATAATCCAGTCGTGTGCGCTTTCTTAGAACTTGACCCATTGTCTTTGCAGATTGAGCATCAGCTTTTCTAGATCTTGGTTGAGAACCCTTGGCTATAGATGAGCTTTTTGACTTCGTGTTAGCTAGTTCAACTTCCAAATCAATCACATCAATTACACCATCACCCCTTGCAGCAGCACATACCTTGTTCAGACCCGGTAACATATCTACTTCAGGTACTGCTATCGAATGAACAAATGCAGGATTGAAACATTGTCCTGCATTCCCATTTGTGATATTGCTGTCAGGTTCAGCCATTCCTGCAGTGAAAAAAAAAAATTATGCCTTCAGGATATCTGGCATCATAATAGTTGATTAGAAAATGAAATTTAGAAACTTAAAACCCTTGATTTGCAGCAGATATAAGTTCGGAATTTTCAGAAATCATTATATATTCAGCCTATAATAACTCTAAACTTAATAACAATTTGTTTGACATCACCCATGGACTCATAATACCAAAAGTCAATTCTTTTCTTTTACCGTAATCAATGACATTATGTGGCCTCCCTTTTGAGAAATCCCAAATTGCAAGCTTTAAGTCCAGACCACCTGTAATAGCTGCCAAATACATCAAGTCAATTACTGCAAGAAAATAGCTATCATCAGCCTACGCCCTAAGCTGAAAAAAAAAAAGCATCAATAGGTGTAGGCCACGATTTTCTGAAGGCCTATTCTGGGAAGGTTAACATACAAAATTTGCACAATGAATGGTAAATCATTTGAAGCATTACTAAATTAATTGAAGCACTAAATATAAACATGAAATTACTATATTAATTGGAGCAATTCATCAGTAGCATGCACAAGCATGACCATCATTTTAGTTGTAACGCAGCAAATAAAGGTTAATAAGAAACTGAATGTTCACACACAGTTATTTACTTCTCTCGTGAATCTTAAAGATGTACTAGGAGCATGGTATGTTCAGAATTTTCAATTTTGACTTAAGATAAGAACTGATATAAGACTAGCTCTTGCCAATGTTCAGACTTCAAACCTTCAATTACAATGCAAACAAAAATCAAATACTTTGGAAATTTAGTCAATAATTGTTCATGAATAATAATAAGGTTTCATTTTAAGTCGCTGTTGCATGCAAAGAACCAAAAACCTTGTGAAAATACATAGCATGAATTGAGATGATAATGTTGTATATGGCTGCCCCTGAAAAAAGAACAGACTTTTGAGATAGATAATACTGATTAAAAAAATGGAACAACTAGCTCCATGAAATTCATGAGAGACTATAGCAATAAATATGCCTGTTACTGTATCAGGAAATGGAAGTATGCCAGTTACTCTTATGGATTTAGCTGTTCCATCTCTACAAAGACTTTGGAAACAGTAAATACAGATACTGAGATGTGGAAGCAAATTAGAAACAGTAATTTTGCATTTTGACTAATTTTTACTAACTCATTAATACCTGTCCAGGGCTTCCAAGGAACAAATTGTACACAACTGCAAATCTGTTAGAAAGCTAAGGGGAATCACAACTTTGATTGGCATAAGAATTCCAGAAGTATTTTAGATGTCAATCATACAAAAGATTCAGCAATACATCAACAAGGATACACTAGTATGAACCATTCTCAATGTTCTGTACAGGCTTTGCTGGCAACTGTCAATGATCTGAAATAGAGAAAATTATAAAACATGGTAACTTGCAAAGTAGCACATGCTTGATCCCTTTGAATCTAGAAAACAAAAAAAAAGGAAACGCAGCATTAAGTTTCTGCAACTGGGAAAACAAAAACTCATGATGGCACTTGACTAAAACATGATCAAATGGAAAACCAAGAAATCCAAGATTTTAGAAGTGAAAAGAAACAAATACAAGTAGTATAACAATAGCAACTCCTAGCAAGATGACAATGTAGCTATGGTAAATTGGATCATGCCCATGTCTGAAGTCAAATCTAATCATCCTGCAGAATTGTAAAGACACTGCAGTAAATCAAGTTAATTGAAAGATGACATGTTACCTTTTTTGTCAGACTGATGCGGCCATTCAGGCTGGTGTTCAGCTTTGGCAATTAGGAGCTGTGACATTTTTTTCTCCAATTTTTGAACAATCTCTAGCAAAATATTCATTATTCTTTCCTATCTTCTATTTAGTCTTGGTACCAATCTATAAGATACTTGAGGCTATCAGGTGCTCAGAAGTCTTTTTTAAACCAAAATTTTAAGAACATAAAAATCGTGCAAATTGAAAGCTGCAGCAGCTAAAAGATCCAAAAATGTTCCAGTTTAAGGTTGGAGATTCAGATCTCAAATTTTGAGGTCCCGGGAAAAATTAGATAAATACTCTACAAAGCAAAATGAAGATTCAATTGAAAAAGCAAGAAGCCAGAAAAATCAAAATAGATTGCCAGCATATATCCCAGGGAATTAAGTTAACTATGAGTGTCCGTGTTTTCCAGCACAATAACTTTTCTGATTCACCAAAAAATGGACTTTAGGACAAAAGTAATAATGTGCGCAAAGTCCTCCACAACTATTTTGGTATTCAAGTCAAGACCAATGCAAAGTAACATGGCTAAGGATCCACACTTTAAAGCATCCTCTTTTGGTTTTGCTCTCCTCTCTCAATGTCTATCAACCATTTCACACTGCATCTAATAGCCAAGCTTTTGCTTTTTCTGTAAGATTATAATTTGAAGAAGTTAATCCATCAAATTTTTATAAGAAAATTTGATTTCATGTAGCACTCACCGAACTATATTCACATGCACAAGCACCTTTGTTCATAATCTATATTTTAACCTTAAACATTTAGTTCTGATGTGTACGCTCAAGAGCAAGTCATGTCTAGTGCCTTGCTCTGACCATATCTTTCCTCCTCAACCTACTAATACTTCCTAAGCAATTTGGACTGGTAATGCTCCCATTTCAGCCTTAAGATCCCAACTGACAATTCAAATTTAACATATTGCTCCTATTATGTTTTAGTATCTCATCAAGATCATGCAAACACTGGATAATACCTTAGTCATAAATTGTTATTACTGTAAGAAGAACTAAAAGCAATAGTGGTCCACCAGCTAAAAGAGTAACCATTAGAGTCATCCCAACTAAGTTTCCTTTCTTCTCTTCCAATTTCTCCAAATCTCCAATTCTGTTATTTCTTCCTTCCCAACAATTTCCAAATTGGTCGATCCTAAATGTTTTAGGCAGTCTTGATACTGCTCCAGTTTATCCCAATCCCGATAGGCCAATTCTCAAAACACAGGAAAGAAAAGATGATGAAGAGGAGATCAGAAACATTCCAATTTCAAGTGGCCATTTCAGCCACTGATGCAAAAAGATACCTACTCTAATAGAACAATTAAATAAACAATATTTAGATGAAAAGTATAGTCATCAGAAAGCAAAACCATGTATATTCTAATTAAATCAGAGATGGAGATATCTATAGCACTTGCAGTTAATAAAAATGAATAGAAGTCGTGATGAAAAAAGATGTTCATAAACAAGCAATTTGATATCTTATAGAGTCTCCTGTAACAATTTAAGTACCTTAACTTCACCACTATCATCTGCAGCAGCAAGGAAATTTGACTTTGTACTGAAAGAAATCTGCAAGAAAAAAATTATACTTAAAGATTTCAAGACCAATTACAGCAAAAGAGCATAAACATACCATGAATCTTGAGAGGCCATAGAAAAACATGACTGAACTTATTTATGCACTGAATGTCTAAAAAATAGACCAAACACATATAATTTCAAGAAAATAACCAAAAAATTGAGTGACAATCTGCAAATAACTTAAAATTTCCAATAATACAACGAATCCTATTGTAAAAGGAAGAACACATCTTTTCTTTGAGAAAAGAAGCTTTAATTTAAAAGTTTATTATTCTGAATCCTAAAGTAACGGGTTACAATAAAATTCAATTTCCTGTTGCATAATGTAAATAACTTATGGAATGTCATTTTAGAAAAGTACCTGGTTTATCTCATCCTTGTTGTAGCTGTAGGTTTCCAGTGGCTTCCAAGAAGATGCCTGAGAGATGGAAATTTGAAGTATCATAATGCAAATGCAAGGCAAGTGGTCCGTGTAACATCAGCCTATAGCAACCAACATTAGTTCTAAATCTCCCATCCAGATGGACATTAAAACAATCTTACAATCTTTGGTGTCCTCAGTATGATGATAAATGGTTTCAAAGCCACATAAACCTTGCGTAGATGGTTCGACAGTACCATATCACAATGACCGACAAGCACACTAGTATGCAGAAGCCAAAATGTCATTATCTAGTATACAATAAAAAGAAATAACTGTGTTCAAAAGAGCTGAACATATAGCCAACTGAACTCTGATGGAAAAAGACTTGGAAGACAATGGCTATAGGGAAGAAACAATCATGTTTTATGTACTGAAGTTTTAGTTCTTATGAAGCATCCTATGGTGCAAGGCAAATGAATATGTAGCTGCATGAGCATTCCCAAGACAACACATAATACAGCAATTGAGTCTAAAGCACAATTTTGAAAAGAAGAAAAATTAGATAATTATGCACAAAAAATTTGGTAATTATGATGTGTCATTATGTAACAAGAACAATATCTCAAAAGAAAAGGCTTTATACAACATAACAGGTCGACAAGGAGAGAAAGCAAAGTACACAAGATAGTGCAGGAAGTAATATTACTTTTAAATGTGACCATTAATTAAAAGGATATCATTATATGATTCATAATTTTAAATAAGGGTTTCCGTATATGTGTATATTGATTTCTACTCTTCCAAAAGTTTGAACCATACCACTTAGAAAGCTGGAATATCAGGTATATTCATGTAAAGGTAGAATTTATCACAGGTACCCTTCTAAAGGTACCTATAAAAAACATATAGAGCCTGACAGCATGTCAAAAATTTCAAATATATCTCTGGAATGGGTATTACAATATGCCTAACTTTCATGGGCTACGCAATATACTTTAGTTTCAAAAGTCAAAAACACCATCGCAAAGTTGTGAAGGAGAATATATGCAATCTTACCAAACAAAATGACTCACCATCTGGATGTCAAAACACGAGACTTTTGTTCCCGAAGAGGCATACAGAATATCATCATTTCCTGTAAAAAGATATATGATGCTATATGTTAACAAATCTATGTGCTGAAAGCCTTGATCAAATTTTAACCTGTATGTTACCATTGCCCACAAACATGAATCTAATGCATCATAAGCAACCAGTATTCTGGTAACTATGTTTTAAGTCTACCATTGAATTTCTAACCAAACAGGCCTAGCAAAGTACAAATGGATAGCATGAGATATTATCCTCAAGAAGGGGGGACAAAACTGCAAAGGAACTCAGAAGGTTTCTTTCAAGCATTGCTCTCCAACTTTTTGTATGAATATTTCATTTTGAAAGTAGAAGAGCTCATATAATAATAATCCATCCAATTATGCATCAGCCTCAAGGGCCAAGCATTCAATAATTTCAATATCTGATGTTGGCAAAAGTACTTGGAGAAAAAGATAATCAAAGATCATGACCCATGATGCATACGTAGGGAAACCTTGAGTAGAAGAGATAGGTGACTGACCTATTTCTTATTGGAAATATGAAGTAAATTGAAAACAGTATAAAAGAAGGCACAACAACTAACCTGTTTTGAAACATAAAGAAGAGACAGGTTCCTCCCCCACATCAATGGTAAAGAGAACATCTTTACAACGCAAATCAAACAAGCAAATGCAACCATCCTATTATCAAGAGAAGAAAGAGTAATGTATTGGAACATAAGCTCATTGAACAACATGGCTTCATTATATTGAGTTAAAGCATTTAAGACTACGAGCTTGTTTGGTTCAAGAATAAATTTCAAGATAACAAGTTATTCCACACAAAGTAATTCTTCTACCGGTTGAATTGAGAACATAACTGAAATAAAGAATACTTACCTTTTTGCCTCTAAGGGGATAAAAAACAGAATTAGTGCATCCCTTTTGGTAAACTGGGTTATCCTATTTGTTATGCATTTTGACATGAATAAGAATATTCCTCTTAGTAGTTGGAGTAAATTCTATAAGGTAAGGCTGTTTACTATGGGATAAGTTCTTATGCACCTATTTTACCATCAAAATCGACCCCTAAATACATAAACTATCTACGAACATGTTGGCATGGATGAACGTACGGCTTATGTTGCCATGGATAAACGTACTGCTCTAGACAGGTGCCAACATGTATCGCAACGACCCATGCTGAAGAAGCCAACATGTATCGACAGATGCGGAAAGAATGGGTGGCCAATTAGGTAAACCAACATGTTTCTTGAATTTCTACCCGTCGTCGGCTAAAGAAGTGCGAACGCAAAACCCTAACAGAGAGCGTACCTCGCCGGAAGAAGCGATGACGCCGGGCCGGAGGCGGGAGGCGACGCAGCAGGTGGCGGCGGCTTTGTGGCCCTTCAATCGTCTCGGATTCATCTGCTGGGTTCCGCCTATTTCTTGCGTCGATGGATTGATCGAAGCAGCTCGGCTTTCGCCTCCCGAGTGAGGCTCCGCCATTCCGAGGCAATGCTAATTACGACGGCCGCACAACCATGCATATTATAGCATGACACCAAAACACGAGTGACATACCGAATTAGGTGGAATAATGATCCATTCTGCGAAGCCGAACCCGACCTGACTAACCCGATCGACCCTTTGGGTTGGATCGATTTTGGGAATTCTGGTTGCCTGAGATTGACCCCAAATGGAAAATCCAATCAAAATAATATTTATATTCGTTCATTGTTGGAACTCAATTCGTCCATATATTAATATCAAAAGGAAAACTTTGAATTGTTGGATTGAGATTTACTTATTTACGTATTACAAGCCCGCTTAAGTCGATTTTGAATAAGAGCAGATCCCTATTTCCTGCGATCCACCTCTACCGCATTTTGTCGAACAGGTAGCGGACGCCTCAAGATTCATTAATCTCCATCCGGCGAATGCTCGGCGAGGGGATCTTCAGGGCGTCGATGCTGCGGGAGGAGGATATATGTAGCCACGGCCACAGCTGGAGGATCATCCAGGGTCGGAGGATCTCCTCCACCGACACCGAACCCCGATGAGTTCCGAGCTTCCGGGCGATAAGATCGTAGGATATCACGAGGCAGCGCAATGAACCCGTGGGGGTCGGAGAATTCGCGACGACAGGGCGGAGAGGAGAAATATTGGCTTCTTTCTTCGGCGACCGGAGGAGATGCGATTTGGTGTGTCGCTCGCAAGCGGTTTCTTAAGTGGGGAAACCCATTGACGCCGTCTGATTTGATCGGATTGAAGCTTGTGATTGATGACTTGATGGGGAGCGCTTTAATGAAGCCGGGAGAGAGGGATAGGACACCGCCGCGATCTGTTACCGGTTTTGTGGTCCGTATTCCCTCTCTTGATATGGCATACCTATTACTCGGCATTCGCGCCGGGCGAAAGTGTGGACCCTAAGGTCTGCCGAGGAATGGAGTGCTGCTGCGGTCTCTCCTTGCGGTCTTCGGCTTCCGCTCTTCTCAGTCCTCAGGTACCTGTTTTGGCATTTGATTTCTGATGTTCGAGTGGTAGGAGAGCTCCGTTTACTAGCTCGCAATCACCTCATCGGCATCATGGTCACCCTTATTTGTCTATTTGCATTTTTGGTAAATACACTTGATTGTTTGCTGTGTGAACTGCTGTTCGCATGTCTCTTTACTATAGTGAATAATCGCGAGCACGTCTCAATGTGCACGCGAGAGTGAAGCAGAAGGATATGGAAACTGAATTATAGGAAGGTCAGCCATGACTAATGCCATGCCTAAACAGTACAAATGGATAAATTTTTTGATTTTTTTTCTGATTTCCCTGATGATGGAATAATGGCATTGTGGTAGCTCCCATGATATTAATTTATGGGGTATTAGATGACTAAATATACATAGACAGAAAAGTAAAGGAAATAAGAAAGCAAAATAAGTGAGTTTATTAGCATTAATATATTTTAGTCACTCATTTATTTTAACTTTTACAGTTTAAATGAGTGTGTAAGCTTCACAGATTTCAATCAACTTTTTTTTTAAATGATTTGACTTTGAATAGTTAATATCTTTGCCCCAAAGAAAAATCTTTTATAGGGACAAATACTTGGTTTTCAAATCATTGTCTAGAATTCAGAACAACAAACACAATGGCATTCGAAAGGGAATCAATTTTAGCTTGAATTTTGAAACAGTCATTCCCAGATTGCCATGATTTCCACTGGCAATATATCTATTTGAAAATTAAAGAGATTTTAAATCTTATTCTTAGTAAAAATGAGTTTGGAAAGGGAAAATAAGTACAGAACAAGAACTCAATTTTGGATATTGAATTCATGCCAATACAAGATCAGACCGGAATATGTCCAAATCCAATCTGGTATACTGGCACATGGTATGCCAGAAGTATCATGGTACAAAGAAGAAGTGAGGGGAGGAAGGGGGGAGAGGAGGAGGAGGAGGAGGAAAAAAAGGAGGCAGCGAAGGAGGAGAGGACAAGATGATGGTGGTGATGGAGAGAAGGAGGAGAGGCACAAGAGGAGGAGAGGAGGCCGCTGTGACGAGGGTGAGGAGTAATGATCAATAGGGTCAGTAGGTGGCTGGATAGCCGGAGGTGTGGATGTGGAAGGTGTGACAATGACAATGAATAGTGCAAGCAACAAAGTGTGTGTGTGTGTGTGTGTGTGTGAGAGAGAGAGAGAGAGAGAGGTGCACATGATGTGTTGGGGGGATAAGCTATTAGGTATTTTGGTTTTTAATTTTTAGAATTAAAAAATAGAAAAGAACTACATCGGGCTTACTGTATGGTCCAGGCCTGGTATTAGTTATTAGGTTTTCTTGTAGTGGAGTATGAGTATGTTTAAGGGTGTGCAATAGTGATGTTTATTTATCAAGTCAGAGAAATGATGTCTATTTTAAGAATAATTGAGATCTAACTCAAACTTGAATCTGCATACCATCGGCTTACATAACATAAATCCTTCATTTGATGTTAATTTGGCTGGTAAAACACAGTAATCTCTTATATCTTTGCTTTAGTGTCTAACTGATATGATGATATTATTCTCCAAGATGAGCTATATGATTTCTTTAGTTTAGTTTCTGACTGATATGATGATATTATTCACCAATCAAACTAAATTGTGTGGGTATATTATATGTTGTTATTTTTTCCAGGACAACATCATATAATATTGCTTTTTCAAAGTTTTGTTAAAACTATGCACGGAAAATTGCTTTGCATAATTAACATATTCATGAAGCTTAGATTTGAGTCTTTACTAACTTAATAGTACCCATGTACTGATATGCAATCCTATTTGCAATGAAAGCTGAAACTTACTGTCATGTTCCACCAAACCAAGTGAATTATCTGCATGAATAAGTTTCTAAATTTGATGGACTTCTTCTTTCTGTTTTTTCCATGTTATCATAATTTTCTGTTAACAATTTAGAGTGAAATTTTTTATACTACTTAATAATGACCATTTGTTGTAAAACTTTCTGGGCTTGATGTTTTCTTGAGAGGGAATATAATTATATGATTGCTACTGTAATATTGTGTTGGCCTTGTATTCACGTTAATGCTACTGAATAGGACGAAAACACACTATCTTGGAACTAGTTGTATTTTTCCTATATAATTACTCTTGTAACATTTCTAGGTCTGGCTCCAAAATGTTTGCTAACAAATGCTTTTGGAGTCCATGCCCTAACTGCCACAGTAAGAATATATATACCTTATCATGCTAAAATAATAGTTCCAGGACCAGTCTTAACAATAAAAAATCTGTCTTCTTACCTCATAATAAATTCTTTGGTTGAATGGCTTATAGACATTTAATACTTTCTGACAACTAAAGATTTCTTGTAGATGCTTTTAACATCTATTTTCAGATTTCTTGTAGATGCTCTTAATTGTGCAATTGATAGTCAAATAAGTGCCTTTAATGATTAAGTTAGTTTCGATTCTTTTGTCACTATGCTAAATTAATGCCATGTGAACTACATAGTTGAAGATTCAATGTTTTTGTGTCCAGAATTTTTCTACACCTGAAGACCTTTCAGCATATGATGGTATTGAAATGAGGGTAAAAGGTGATGGACGTCGTTACAAGCTCATTTTACGTACTAGTTCTGATTGGGACACGGTCGGTTATCCTGCAAGCTTTGACACTACAAAAGAGCAGTGGCAGACAGTATGTTTTACCTCCATTTGGATGCATTGTGGCTCAATTATTTGCTAGTTAAGCTAACTACATTTCCTGCTGGATTCAGATAAAGCTACCATTTTCTTCATTTAGGCCTATATTTCGTGCTCGGACTGTGGTTGATGCTGCACCTTTCGATCCAAGCAATATAATTTCACTTCAGGCTTGTTTCTTAATTCTCTCTCCCTTTCTTTCTTGTTAAAATTGGATGTCTCTTGTAATGCAAATAGACATTCTTGTGCAGCTTATGTACAGCAAGTTCGAATATGATGGAAAACTCAACCCAACTTTTGTGGAAGGATCATTTCAGCTTCCATTTTCAAGCATACGAGCATACATTAATGAGTCTATCACTCCCAGGTTTCATTCTTCATTATGAAATAATATCCTGTTTAAAGATTCATTGTGGAAGGTTCAGATTCTACAGGAGTGTGTAACATAGCCAGTCCTAAAACCAAAATGGGAAAGGCATTATAATTATGCATAATTAATCTGTGTTTGTCTGGCACAGAGGGTAGCCTAGTTGCATTTTGAGTTGTTTATATGGAAGAATCACACCTCTGATAGGGCTTCATTATGCAGGTTTGTACATGTGAGCTCTGCAGGAGTTACTCGACCTGACAGACCCGGACTGGATCTAAGCAAACAACCACCTGCAGTGCGCTTGAACAAAGAGTTAGGATTTATCCTCACTGAAGGTTACTTCACTGAACTTAGTTGCCATCTGCATGTATGTATATGTATACATGCGTATATATGTATACATGTGTACATGTACATATATATGTATACACATACATACATGTATATGTCTATCCAATTGTAACTCTGTAATCAGAAGTGTCTATTCATCATATACAAGGCAAAAGAGTTAAAGCATTATTGTTTATGATCAAGAAATTCACAGAGAAATCTGCTTTGTTTAAAATAAACAAATGTTATTTCTAATTTATTGCAAATCTGTTAAATATATATAACAAATTCTGGTCCATGAGCAATTATCATGACAATGTCATTTTTTAAGTATGAATAGGCCGCATTGGTTTTTCATATTTTCCTGTGGTTTTGGCCTTTTGGGACTGACTCATTAAGGTGCGGTTTTTGATATCTACAAGTTGTAGATATGTCTTAGGAGAGATCAAAATTGAAATAGAGATTGAAGTTGATTTTGATATATAAATTTGGTTTTGTGAAATTTCGAAATTTACTATTTTTACAAAGTCAATGTCATACTGTGTCATATTAAGAATGTCAACATGTGCATCTAAGTGCAAAAAACATGTTGTATTTATAGTTGGAAACAATTCAAACCATATCAAGTACAATCCATCATCCTCCCAGTGTACCTGGAATTCATTGTACACCATCCATTTATACATCATCAACTAGACTGCCCATGACAAATTTTAATGTATCATGTGTAACTTTATATTGTATGTTATACCCAAATGGTGATCTAAATATAATTTATATGGAAGCAAAAATACACGGTTATGATAGGTAATCAATCACCTTGAATTGATTGTGGCAGTGGTAGCAAAAATATTTAAATTTGAAGTTTCTACAGTTGTTCATTCTGTATTTTTACTTCAGGGTGAAGATTTGATACGTGAAAGTGGTATTCCTTATTCAATTGTTCGACCATGTGCACTAACAGAAGAACCTGCAGGAGCTGATCTCATTTTCGATCCAGGAGACAATATAACGGTATTAAAGTCATTTAGGTAGATATAGCTTGTGTGATATCGATGTGTATCTTAAATTCATGTCTACCTTCTGCGACTTTCAGGGTAAGATCTCAAGGGAGGAGGTTGCACAAATCTGTGTTGCGGCTCTGAGTAGCCCTTACGCATGTGGGAAGACCTTCGAGGTAAAAAAGGTTCATGTTGACGTTTGTTCTGCAAGTATCTATTTATCAGAAGTTATTAGCTTTTCAAATCAACTAAAATGAAAGAACAAAATAATCTCCCATGATGTAGATGGAAATACATATTAACCAATTAGTAAATAACCTGCTTTTAGCCTAGGACTAAATTGTTCTACACTTTTAACTTGTATCAGATTAGTATTTATGACTTTTTTTTTTCAATGTCTTGCTCTGTTTTATCTATTATTCCCTCACAATGTATATGATCAGTGGTTCGCTGAAGCCATGCTTGAATATGTGTATTCTATGGCCTGCCAAAATTAGATGAATGGACTACTATTCTTCTATCACTCGTTCATTTTCCTTGATCATAGATGGTTGGATATTTGCTTTCTTGAGTTAATTGGCATAAATCCCATATGAAAATCTAAATTTATCTGTACTTTTAGCTTTGGAAGAAAATTTGAACATGACTTCATTTAACATTATCGCCTTGTAAGGGTGTATGAATTTTTAAAGATCTAATTGTAATTACGATTGAAAATAATTGATGATGAAAAGATACTGTTGTGTCATGTTGAGTAAATTTTACTGAAAATTAATGATGAAATTTGTAATAGCCTCCTGATTTACTTATAAGGATTAGACGGTCTATTACCATTGGCTTAAGATTAAGCATTTTGAGTCTAGTTCAGACTCAATAAGTTAATAAGTTCTGCTAACAGAATCGATCGTGCGAAAAGATTTCATTCTCTTAAGCATGATGCATCGTGATAGTTCTTTTTTCTTCTTTTTTTTGCATTTTCTCTATGCAAGTATTCTTTTTGTTTATATATGTATGCAGGTTAAAAGTACTGTGCCGTTCAACGAGCCTTACGTGGTCGACCCTGAAAACCCTCCCCCTGAAAAGGATTACGATGAGTACTTCAAGAATCTGAAGGAGGGTGTCACAGGCAAAGAAGCCTCAGAAGGGAGCCCGGTGCCAGTTTGAGATTTATGCATATGCAGAGTTGTTTGCATCCTAATCCTACTTGTGCAGATGTTAGCTTCTTCCAAATGTATGTCAAGCCATGCTCTATAAATGTATCAATAACAACAGTCTATTATTTGCTTGAGGTGCAAATATGAATCAAAGACTTCTTGCACTGATTTTCTTGTCAGCCTTTCTTTTGTTTTCTCATTCATTTTTTCTATTCCATGTGAATATTCATTTATGTAAGTCGATAACAGACTTGAATACTCAATAACAGAAAAGTTTTTTGTTCTTTTTTTTTCTGAAAGATAGTAACTGTCTTAGAAACAAATTCTCAGTTATTTACATTTAGGATAAATTTGAAATTTTAGAAAAATAAAACACACTGATAATTTCTGAAAAATCAGGATGATCTGGTAATTTTTGAAATCATTAACATACTATGATAAATAATAATAATTACAATAATAAATACTTGAAACTTTTCCTTCATAATAAATAACATTTCCGTTTTCTTACTTAAACCATTCATGAGAAGAAACGGAATGGTAATCCAAACTGGAGGGGACGAAGTGACAAGCATAGCGATCACTTATCAGTAGACCTCTTTATTATCTCGGTTCTTAAATTTAAAAAATTTATATTGAAGTCTCTATAGTTATGAAATGAAATATTTATTCTCATTTACCTTAATGTTATCAATTTTACTGATTCAATATATAACATGTGATAACACGTGTACGAATGATGCAAAAATGATGAACAAAAAAGTAAGTTCAATAGTGATAACAGACAGTAGCACCATAGGTTACTGTTGTGGTGGTGGTCGACGATAATGACCCGATAGTCGACCTTGCTAATGTCGATCTAAATATCAATGATAACGAAGAATAGGAGACAAAGCAGTAAGACATTTACGTCAGCACCTAAGGAGGAAGAAGAGGGAGGTGAGGCAAAACGGTGAGACAAAGCGGTCGACGCCACACTACTCTACCTCCTCTTTCTCCTCCGATGCTACTCTATATTTAAGTCAGCACCGGAGGAGGAAAATGAGGCAGGTCAGAGATATGCATCACCAATGACAAGGAGAGAGGAGGAAGATGAGGCAAGTGAGATAGAGCGGTGCGATATCATTCATGCATACACTGTCCCATGCTATATCTTCCATCGGTAAAGCTAACGGTATTAGAGTAAATGAGATTAGATGTTTCACTTTCATAATTATACGGATTTTAATATAAAATTTTCAAGTATAGAGATCGTGATGTTAAAAGAGGTTTAACGTGATGATCAAACTGATAGTATTAAGATAAATAAGATTAAATATTTTATCTTCATAATTATATAAATTTTAATATATTTTTTTAATTTAGAAATTATCCTAACTTATCCGACCGTACAATATTAGTGTGACGAGCATCTCCATCATGTCATGTCATGAGGTATGGGGTCTTTCTAGCGAGAAGCCTTTTGGGTTGGGAAACAAGAGTAAATTGCTTGCACTGGTCATGTAATAACATTTCCCTCCAAGATAGGTCTCCTTGTAAATTTCAATCCATCCCTTTAACCTCTCCCCCCACATACTCTCCGTAGTTCTTCAATGGCAGCGCACTCGAGTGTTAGCTGGATCCTGTGATGGAATGTGCAAGCAGTAAAGCCTGTAGACCACGACGGATCAATCAAAGATCTACTGCTCCTGTTAGGATTCCTCCACAAACATAAATAATATTGTTCCTAACTATGAATCTTGTTAGGTTTTGAATTAAGGTCAAGCAGATCTAGTCTGTCCTCTTCATGGCACTTTGGTACGAGTCAGGCCTCACCTACTCCTCCCTGTCGCGATTCATATGAAGAAGAACTCGGGAGGAAGACGAGAAGACCACTCTGCACACATTTATTATTGGGATTTACTGCAGAGAATGAGACTTGTCAGTCTCTGGTACACTGCGAACGCTTCAGAGCTCCAGCTCACGCTTGCTCGGAGAGTTACTGCAGCAGAGTGCCCGGAGAGACACCTGCAAAACCTAACGCTTGAACATAAGAAGAAACTGTTGCCTTAACATAAATTCATGTTGAGAGAGAAACATCCAAGAAAAGAGAACATCAACAACTGAGATCATTACATCCAATGTCATGATGATACATTGAAATCAGTAGTGGCCAGCTGGTAATAGTGTTTGTGTTCTTTCTTCTTTTGTTCGACTGTATGGCAAAAGATCATTTAATGTCGTCCAACTACCAAAATTTATGCTCGTGAATGCTCTGCCGTGGATCTAATTGCTCCTTCTCTGTGTATTTATGTACGTGCATGCTCACTCCTGCTCGTTGCAGCAGCTGCTTCTGTCTCCTCCGTTCCACCTCTCTCTCTGTCAGTCTGTCTCTTCCTTCTGTTGGTGTGCATGGAGTGGCAGGAAAGAGCGCAGAATTCCTTGCTTTGTCTTCTCTTAGTTGGATCCGTGGTTACTCCTGTCATCAGCCGAAGCTTACAGGAGTTCACTGAGCAGAAGAACTTCTATCCTCAAACACGTACTCTGTCTCTGTCTCTGTCTCTGTCTCATATCATCATCACCTTGCTTTCAGTGTCGAGTGTGTGCAGGCGTCATTGCAGTGCAACTTAACCGGTAGAGTTCAATGCAAGCTTCGGTTTGGCGTCGTCCTTACGGTTTGCTGGTGGTGCAGGTTCACACACGACACCACATCGCCCGACTCCCTCCGGTGGTGGCCATGGAACTCCGACGCCCGACGGTGCTCACTCCTCTCCCGTCGTCAAGCCCCCATCCACCCCCACCGGCTCACACACTCCTCCTTTCAATGGCACCTGCAAGTAAGCACGGTGAACTGCCATCTACAAGCTCTAGATTGAACACCACTTCGCTCATCGCTTTTCGTCTGTCTTCAGATACTGGGGCTCGCACCCCGATGCCATCGTCGCCGTCATCGGGTCCCTGGGCACCGTGGGCGATCTCTTCGGCTACGGCTGCGCCGCCATCTTCGGCAGCAACCCCACCCTGCACGACGCTCTGACCAACACCCGGACCGACGGCTACGGCGCTCTCTTCCGCGAGGGAACCGCCGCGCTGCTGAACTCGATGACCGACAGCAAGTACCCCTTCACCACCAAGCAGGTGAAGTTCTCCTTCGCCGGCGCCATCACCTCCGACGGCGCCGCCGAAGCCCAGGCTGATATCTTCAAGCAAGCCAACGAGGGCAAGTTCTAGCCGGCCATTGCATGCATGATTTCAGAGCCTTCGACTGCCTGCATTAAACTTAGTTACATGCGTGCGCGTGTGGTGCTGTAGTTGTTCCTGTATCATTATCTACTGTTTCTATTGCTGTCGGAGAAGATCGAGAGTAGTGCAGACTAAGACCTTGTCATGCCATGTCTGTTCCTCAACATGCATCTTTCATGCATGGCAGAAATAAATCCATCATTCTTCCATCGGCTGTTCTTTGTGCGGATGTCAACTTCCTAACATTCCTCGATGCACTAATTCCCGATCATGTTCAATAATGTTGGAAATTTTAGCTCTTTTATCTCTTCTATCTAAACATTATATGAGTGTTTTATTTATAGAAGGGTAAACTCAAGAATTTTGATTTATGGGTGAGAGTTATAATTTTGGATTTAATATTTTTTTTATTAATAAATTACATTATTTTTGAAATTGATTATGTTTTTTTAGGATAAAATATTTTAATAAAAATCATTATTCGAAGCTCGACCAAAATTGGAAGCGTCGACTCCCACGCCATGCCACTTTACGATAGATAGGATAGTGAACAGTGGGCCACCGGACACGAGCGGACATGACGCCGTTGGTTGCTTAGGAGTGGGGGAAAGGGGTCGGTGGGTCCCCTCGCCGACAAGACGACGGCGGTGCACATCCCGGTCGGCAGGCGACGCACGTTGTCCCGCCGAGGACGAGAACTCTGCAACAAATACAAAGATTGCGTACTGTGTGCGTACATGCCCACACATGTATTCGGTGCACAGTAATGAAATCTTAAGTCGATTAGTCCCGTGTGAGTTGGATTGGATTAGATTTTAGATAATATACGCATCGAAAACTCCTCTAAAAGGTTTCATCGACTGTAACATATGTAGATAGCGTGTGAGAACTCTATCCACAAAAGAATTGGAATCTGGTGATCACCAACTAAAGAGTCAGTCGGCAAGAATAAGACGTTTGGGGCCTCAAACCATATCAAATTGAATCAGTTCTTTCGGTTTTTGCAAGGTCGACAAAAGGAGTTCTCTCCTCTTTCTTTCTTTCTTTCTCTCTTTCTTCCTCTCTGTCTTCTGGATCGGATTCTTGAGACTAGACGCTATAGCAATCTGTTTTATTGCAGTGGCATATGATTCTATCTCAAAGTAAAGCTGAACTGAGAATTAACGTGTAGAGAGAAGAATGGTTCCCACAATCCATGGAGGAAGACTCCAGTGGCCTTTTTTGACTTTGGGCACGCGGAGAGAGAGAGAGAGAGAGAGAGAGAGAGAGAGAGAGAGAAGGGAGCGGGAGACGAGCCCACCACCTTCGTCACAATATAATGCCACTCGGAGCCCTGCGAAACCTTCCTGAGCTATAACACACACACACCGTTCCTACCTCTCTCAATGGCCTCATCTTGCAAGGCAATCGCACTTGTTCTCATCTTCTTTCTCCTCCTTGCACCACCTCTACAAGCCCGGGAGCTGCTCGACCCGCGGAAGGAGGAGAAGGTTGGATCCTTGACAGCTGATGGTTCAAGCTCGCCACCATCTTCTCCGAGCGAAAACGAAGCCAGGAGGATGGTGGCATCGGTCCCCAGCCCCGGCGTCGGCCATTAGCTTCGTCGAACCCTTCCCTTCTTGTGTTTGTATTCCATGCGAATTTTTGTAGCGCAGCTTCATGCATGCTTTCTTTCTTCCCTCACACTGCTGTAGCTCTCGATCATTTGTTTCTTCATTGGATTGGCTTGATGCACTGAGTGCCCGCTTGCACTGGAGATCACAGTCGTGATAATACATTCGGTTGCTTCTCTTTTGTTGTTCTCCATCCTTGTTAGTCTCCAAGGTTCTCAAACTCTTGTGGTTTTGGCAATTACACTTCCCCGATCGATTGGATTGAAGTCATGAGTGGGCACAGATGCTGAGCTTTCTTAATGGAAGGAAAAGCTTGATGTATGCTATTGCTAGAATCCGATTCAGACGGCAAGGTTGTTGTCGTTCACCAGAACAAGAAACACGTAATGGCTTATCCTAAACTTACGGAGCACTTCGAAACCTCTAGTCATACTCCATTACCTTCTTCAACTACCAATCACCTGAAGCATTCTTGATAGATTTTCGTGCTCCTTCGATCACCAACAAATATCCAACTGTTAGATTCTCATATAAACCTGCAACTGCTTGTCAACGCTGCTTTAGATGAGATCGTTCGTCTTCAGATGCATGCCAGTCAACTCGAACGTCAAAACCCAGAAGCTTATGTGAACCGATCGTATACTAGAAAGCAAGAAGCTCATTGCCGACCTGGTGGGTAAGGATGCGCAGCCTCTCGAGGCAAATCTGGAAAGGCGACCGGGGACGCGGTTCGCAAAGCCATGCCGGGGCGGGAAGTACATGGAAACAGCACCCCACACATGGCGTTCTTGTCGGAGAATAACGCGGCATGAATGGGACTCCGGACGAGACCAAGCACTTGTTTTGGATGGCTGCGAGACGCTATTGTGGTCACCCGAGGGTGATCCTGAGACACCGAAAGGTTTTGGTGAAGTTGATGCCCCGTCTTCTTGTCGTCGGTAGGTGGAGGCAGATGCAATGTGCAGTGCTGGCTCTCGGACTCGACGAAGCTAATCGCGTCACTTCCATGCCTTCTCCCAGACCAGACAAGAAGGAATGGGCATTAATGCTTGCTTGTATCAACAACAAGGCTTTGTTTCCTGAGATTACATTCCAAACTCGCATGCATATGCATGATTATAGGATGCCTAATCTTGTGATTAGTCCTAATATATATTTTAATTTGATGAGGGTATGACCTCAGCGGAGCAGCAAATAGGACGGATTGTAATCCCTTTGTATATAAATGTCACCAACATGCATCATTAATTAGCATCTACGCATGCTTAATTAATACTCATTAAGATAAGCTATAATATAATTACACTCCCAACTAGCTAAATTAATTACACTACCGATAAATACATCGCGTCGCTCGCCTGATGCCTTGAATGCCGTCGGATGGGATCGCACACGATCACGGCCGTTCGTCTACGTTCGGCTCGCGTGAGATGAGATAGACCTTACACTGGATCAGATTTCGGCCCACTCGGAACCTGGGGACGACGGTGAGGCCGGCCGCGGCGGGTCGACCGGAGACGGCCGCCTCCCTCCTTGTCGTCCGCCGCCGAAACGCTCTCCATGTACACCTCAGAGAACTGGCTCCCCTGTCGGACCTGGAAGATGAGCCGCTCGGTCTTTGGCTCGAACGAGAAGAAGAGCCACTGGAGGGACCACACCCGTCGTGACATCTAGGCGAACCCAGCGAAGAACTCGGAGCCCGGGAAGCCCGGCCCGGAGCTCACCATCGCCCTCGGGTCGAGATCGTAGAAGGAGGAGGATTCCATCTTCGAGTGCACCAACGACAAGTACTTCTTCCTGCAGAATTACGCCACCGGCGACGGCCGGACGCCTAGACTCTGATTCATTGCGATTGACTTGAGCCTGGTGAATTCGTCGAAGAATTGCTGGCTTCCCACGTGGAGCATTCTTCCAGCGTGGCAAGGCCGAAGCTTTGGCGGTGGAAGCCGGAGAACATCCTCTGTCAGACGTAGGATTCGAACGCGAAGGTCCGGTGGCCGGGGTTCTTCTGGCGGATCACGTCAGGTGGGAATCGAGCCCGCGGCGGCGTCGAGGTCCCAACTGCCGGACTCCATCTCCTTCACCATCAATTGGACGAAGGACCTGATCGATTTGATGGCTTACCGCAGCGCGGTGAGGAAATGGGTGGCACTAAGCCCAGATAGGTGGAGTGCATCGAGGGCGGCGAGGGAAAGGTTGGGTTGGAGCTTGGCCTCCAAAGCTCCGGTCTTTCTCTCTTATTCGAGGAGCTCTGCTCCGAGGGCGAGAATCTCGGGGTCCTTGAGCTCGAGCTCCGACCACAGCTTGCAAGTGGTGATCCTGTGGGTCTCGACGAGGTTCTTCAGCTTCTGGAGCTGTGCGGAGAGAGCCGGGTGCACAATCGGATTGGTGCGAGGGTCGAACTGGTTTCTGAAGTTGGAGCACTTAAGTTCCGAGATGCGCCTGAGCTCGGCAACGACGGCGCCGTCGGCAGATTCTATCGATTACAGATCATAGGAGGACTGCGCAACCTGAAGCTGGGCGTAGGCGGCGTTGACGGCCGAAATGCTGGCGAACAGTTCGGCTAACAGCAACTCCTGCAGCTGCTTCTTCTCATCATCAGGAATGTTCAAGCCATCTCCATGGGGATCAGAGAGGATACCGGAGTAATCGCCAACATCGTTGGCAGCAGGCGGAGGATCTTGGTGATCGTCCGAGCCACCGACCCGAAATTTGGCGGCGGCAACCTCGCAGGCTCATCTCCTCTTCAACTTCAAGGCAAGCTGGAGAGCGCAGAGGAAGAGAGCAGCGAGAAATGACAGCACTCATTGAAGACGGCAGCAACACATAAATGAGAAGGCCTCTAAGGCTTCAACGAGCGATGTTCGACCTGCAGCGTGATTTGCGTCCCCATCAAAGTCCGATGTACTGATGTCCGATCGACTCGTCGCGAAGGCAAGCAGCAGTGACTCCACATTCAAGCGGGGGGCCGAACCACCGCTGGAAATTTCTCAGGGGTGAGGTGGACGCGGCAATTTCAAATCTATGGACCCCACCTCGGTTGACTTGACTTATCGGTTCGAATGGCAGCTGAGCCTCGGACTCATAGATGAATTATTGATGTCAGCCTCATACACGTGGGTCGCATGGAGCCACCCATTGGTGCTTATTTCTCCTCAATTAATTAAGAATGAAATTTGCTGGAAATTTCTATAGAAGATAGTGTGTGTGTATATATATATATATATATATATATATATATATATATATATATATATATATATATATATATATAATTTTCTTTTTTCCTTTCTCGCCAAACACCCGCACGTCCATCCGCCCCCAACCGCCGTGCCGTCGCCGTCTTCTTTTTCCTCGTAACCCTCAACAGCGTCGACTTTACCGACCTAAACCTCACCCACTCCGTCTCAGTCTGCACGCCTGTCGCCTTGCCATTGGCAGGGGAGAAGGAGAAGACGTCCTTAAACAATGGCCTGTTGGTCTCGTCACCGCCTTTGATTTGTTGCACCGGCAAGCTCTCTATATTAATCATTAGGCACAACAGCAAGGGGCAACGGCGTCTCTCCGGTTCCCATGAATTCCCTAAATCACCCCTCCATCTCTTGCTCGCATAAGAAGGTAAATGTGGAATTTTGTTATTCCTGGACTCCAAATTCCAAAACTAACCCCGAGGTGACATAATCCCATCGCCCGCCACCGAACTGGAACCCTAATATCCCTTATCTTCCCACCCGCGCCCCGCGACCGAGCCATGACCTCACCGTTCGCTTTCCTCTCTGTCCGCCGCCGGCGGTCTCCCCTCTCCGGCATGTTCTTCGCACCCGGCGACCTCGCGGGCTTCGCCCTCGTGCACGCCCTCGCTGCCCTCTCCGCGGATGTCGCCCGCTGCCCCTCCAGATTCCAGCGCTGCAACGCGCGGTCCCTCGTCCGCAGGCTGCGCATCCTGTCTGCCCTCTTCGAATTCCTCGAGGAGTCCTTCGCCTCCTCTCCTTCCTCCCCCCTCCCGCCGCGGTTTCCCTCCTCGGCGGCGCTTTGCCTCAAGGAGCTCTACATCTTCGTCTACCGGTCCAAGATCCTCCTCGAGTACTGCTCCCAGTCGAGCCGGCTCTGGCTTTTGTTGAGGAACCCCCAAATCTCCGGCAGCTTCCACGACCTCGCCCGGGAACTGGCCACGCTTCTCGACGTCATCCCTCTCGACGATCTCCTCCTCACCGTTGACATTCGCGAGCATCTCGAGCTCCTCCGGCGGCAGTGCAAACGGTCCGAGCTTTTTATCGACCCCTATGACGAGGAGCTCCGCCGCAAAATCCACTCATTCTTGCGTCGGCTGGAGACCGGCGTGCTGCCGGATCCGGCGGAGCTCCGGAGCACGTTCGTCGACGGTCTGGGTATCCAGGATGCCAGGGCTTTCCGGACCGAGATTGAGTTCTTGGAAGAGCAGGTCTTTAATCAAGAGGAAGACATGGATCTGCCCGTCGTCGGTGGAGTCATTGCGCTCACCCGGTATTGTAGATTCTTGTTTTTTGGGTTCCAAGAAATGGAATTCGGAAGGCCTTTCGGCGATCAAGGTAGGATATCAAGGAGGCGATTGTCGAGTCTTGGGAGTAGTGTAAGCCAGGGAAGTGCTGATTTCTCGTTGACGATCCCCAAGGACTTCTGCTGCCCGATATCGCTCGATCTGATGAAGGATCCGGTGGTCGTTTCCACCGGCCAGACCTACGATCGCGCTTCCATCACTCAGTGGATCGAAGAAGGGCATCGAACTTGCCCTAATTCCCGCCAGACGCTCGCGAACAGCCGGCTCAGGCCAAACAGAGCTCTCAGAAACCTGATTTCCCAGTGGTGTGCTGCTTATGGAATCCCGTACGGAACTCCCGAGGGCACGGGCACTTCAGCTGAGAGCACTGTGGCAGCATGTAGCAGCAAGGCAGCAATCGAAGCAAACAGAGCCACAGCTAGAATTTTAGTGCAGCAGCTGTCTGCTGGTTCACAGGAATGGAAGACCGTCGCTGCCCGTGAACTCCGGTTGCTGGCGAAGACCGGGAAGGAGAACAGGTCGTTAATTGCTGAGGCTGGGGCCATCCCTCTCCTATGCCGACTGCTCCATTCCACAAACCCGGTTGCTCAAGAGAATGCAGTGACTGCGATACTGAACATATCTATTCACGACAGTAACAAGAGATGGATCATGGAGGAGGAAGGATGTTTGAAATTGATTGTTTATGTTATGATACATGGATTGACTACCGAGGCAAGGGAGAATGCGGCAGCCACATTGTTCAGCTTATCTGCTGTTCACGAGTTCAAGAAAATGATTGCTGATGAGCAGGGTGCTGTGATGGCATTGGCCAATTTGCTGATGCAGGGAAGCACAAGAGGGAAGAAAGATGCTGTGATGGCCTTGTTCAATCTTTCGACCCACCCTGGAAGCTGGTCTCCCATGTTGGACATGGGAGCTGTTTCAGCGCTGGTGGGAGCACTGAGAGACGAATGTGTGGCCGAAGAGGCTGCAGGTGCTCTGGCATTTCTCATGAGGCAGCCTTTTGTGGCGCAGACAATTGGTGGTGAGGACACTGCAATCACAAACCTGGTGGGAATAATGAGGAGAGGAACCCCGAAGGGGAAGGAGAATGCAGTTGCAGCTTTGCAGGAGATGTGCCAAAGTGGTGGTTTGGCTGTAACACAAAAGGTAGCCAGGATGCAAGTGTTGAGTGGCTTGATTCGGACCATCTCGTTAACTGGGACAAAGAGGGCCAGAAGAAAGGCTGCATTACTTTCTAAGTTGTGCCAGAGATGTGAGGCACCTACAGCCATGGCATTTGGAAATGACTGGCTTGCGGATCGGACATTAGCGAGAACCAACTCCGTGAGGGGTTCCAGTTTCCGCAGCGGGAACCTATCAGTCTCTGTGTCCATGACCATTCAAGTACCTGTGCTGTAGCTTCGATGTTCATTCCACAGCGGGAACCTAAGCCTGTTGGAAAGATTCTTGTATTTACGCTTGGGTAAAATTGCCGGCAAGAGACCAATTGATACTGTTGTATGTATGTATGTACCATGTAATACATGCTCTGTAAATAATGGTGCAACTTCCTGCGTGTTTAGGTTATGCCATCATTTGATAGATGCTTGCAAGCATTGATACGGTTAGATTACGATAGCATTGGTGGAAAACTGTGTTGTTCCTTTGTGAAATAGTAGGAATTGGGGAGCTGAAATCTGATGCTGCTCATTTCCAAACAGTGCTGTGAAGTACAAGATTACTGATTGCTTTTGTTGAACTAGTGTGTTGATTGACACTTGACACTCACTATGTTTTACTCGATGTCATTCATAGTCCGGCAATCTTCTTTGACATATGGTTGTTCATCCAGTAATCTGGTGGCAGAGTGCCTTTTCTCCCAGAAAGTGTTAGATGTATCCAGACGCATTTTGTATCGAGGAAACTGTGTTATTTCTGATGTAAGAGCGCTTGTTATCATGCAGTAGATCAATGACCGTTGTGATGAATACAATAGATGGATGAAGCAGAAGCTAAATTGTTTTGTTCAAAAATACTAATTTGTGATTATTTGGGTTTCTTGAAACTTTTAAAGGATACTTAAAAGGTTTTTTCTGGCAATTGACTCCGAGTTATGTCAAAAGTTGTAAAATATTGATTTAATGATAATGTATAAGACTCATTCATCAAAATATTGATTAAATATGTCATTCGTCTTAGTAAAGATCTTAATAGTTTATCGTAAGTTTTTCATTTTCAACTTCGTCTTCATCATTTATAAAAAGAATTTTGGTATTAATGTTAGTATGATATGATCTTTACATGTAGGCTTATTTTTTTCCTTCTTTTTTTTTGTTTTATGGTGCATGATAAGCTATATATTTAATTTAATATACCAACAACATGTTACCCTGAAATAATAATGTTGAAACAATAATTCACAATAGAAAACTCAATCCCATTTCTCGGGATATCGTGATAACCAATACAGTTCGTAGTGTTTTGTGTGTTCATTATTAATCTTCGATCACAAAATCAATTTGATCTAATTATCTTGACCTCTCAAGACAAAATTATGCCTATGTATATTTTTATTTTGTTCTGAAAAATATTAATCAGCCATATAAAATATAAGTGATGCCAAATGACATCAACGTCCTCAGAATTCAACTCATCAATCCTTAAAAGCACGAATTCCAAAGCATATACATTCTATTTTTGGATGGCGGTAAGGTAATAAAGATGGTAAAGTTAATATTGCATCATCTCCTCCAAATGGGCGTTGACCAGTCGTCCACCGCAGCTTACAGCGAAGCCTCGCCTCGATTTGCACCCTTAACAAGCGTGCATCCCCTCCAAGTGTGAGACGCCCCGCCCCAAACGCCCCGCAGGAAGAAGCCCACCCCACGTCCCCTCTCCATATCCCGAGCCCCACATCCACCCCACCTTCCTCTCTCCCTTGGTCCCTTCTTCTGTGTCCTTTCTCCCTCCGTAGGAAGGGAAGGGACCCGCGGCCTCGCAACACCACCACCCCAAACACCGTTCTCGCGTCTCCGGCCCGCATGGCTCTCCGCCTCCCCCTCCTCCTGCTCCTTCTGGCCGTCGCCTCCGTGGCCACGCCATCGGCCGTCGCCACTGCCGATCCCAACGTCCAGTGGGGACTCGTCCGCGTCGACGGCGGAGACGCCGCGGGGCTCGGGGCCTCGGCTCCCACCTGCGACGGCCTCGTAGGGGAGTGCGTCGACGAGGACGACGAGCCCGACATGGAACCGGAGGACGCCCGCCGCTTCCTGTACCGCGCCAACGGCCGACAGAGGTTCATAAGCTACGGCGCGCTCTCCCGCGACCGCGTCCCCTGCAACCGCCGCGGCCATTCCTACTACAACTGCAGGAGAAGCGGGCGGGCCAACCCTTACCGCCGCGGCTGCAGCGTCATCACCAGGTGCGCCAGGTACCTCGACTGAGCCCTGCAACGAAGAAGGTGACAGCGGGACGTTCCTCCATATTAATTACCGTCGCCAATATGTGATGCTACCATCATATTATGTAACTACGTTCTCATGCATGTTATACGCGAGTGCAATGTCTTAAATCTTTCCTTCGTGTTATAATTCCTCCGAAAAGGACGAACAATTTCATTTCAATCTGACGTTGAGAAGGGATAGAAGTTCGAAGTTAGTAAATCTCAGCAAATAATGTTGAGGTGTCGGCCAGATCTCCATACGATGACAAGTACGCCTCTTGACATAACACCACAACGATACCCCAGCAGCTATATACGTTTCCTAGCCCATCACAAGCTTCATGTGCAGGAGGACATCACACCAGTATCTGGGGTACAGTGTCTGATAACCCTGTCGTAGATTTCGTCTTCTGACAACCCACGGGTGGAGTCCACAAGGTCACCATGAAGAGACCCTGTGAGATCTAATCTGGAAACCATGTTATTTGGTAAATGCAGGAGAAGGCATACTTAGACCTGACGTAACTCGTAGGCGGAGCTGAGGGAGGAAGAAGATAACAATATCATGTATCATATGCAGGAAAGGTTGTTCGGAGTGTAGGAAATGATGATAACGACACCGCAGGCGACATCAATTACGAATTATTGGAGATACTGCGAACTGTCACTCTTTCTCCTCTCTACTAAAACCCCCTACTCTCGCCGTCCCAACCCATCGTATTCCTTCTCTTTCTTCATCGTCTTCCTTCTCCTCTCTATCTCTGGAGGAAAAGTACTTGCTTTTGTGGTTCTTCTCCTCTCTGGTGGCATTTCGAATCCTAATTCCCACTTTATCCTCTCTCTCTCTCTCTCGCGTATGGGCAGTTTCCGCCTGCCTTAATGCAAGTTTAAGGTCGGCCATTGGCTTAGAGAAACATCTGTGCGACTTTCTGCAATACCAAATTGCATACCTTCTTTCAGATACGCGATATCTGTACTTCAACATTGAAAAAGGTTCCATCTTTTGTTGCCATCAACAGACTCGGTGGGGGGCAAACCAATCCCAACCCAAAAGATCGCTTCTTGGAAGTCAATGGCGTATCTTCAGAATCCCTCTGAGACTGACAGAAGGGACAATTCCGTGTCTTCCAACTCCTCCCTGTGTTCTTCTTCTTCATCTTCCCCATCTCTGGGCCTTCATCATCAGCAAGCGAAGCCTGCCAAGAAGGCGGCCAAGGGCGGGGGCGGCGGCGCCGAGAAGCGGCAGCGCGACCAGAGCAGGCACCCGGTATACCGCGGCGTGCGGATGCGGAATTGGGGGAAGTGGGTTTCGGAGATCCGGGAGCCACGTAAGAAGTCGCGTATCTGGCTGGGGACGTTCCTGACGCCGGAGATGGCGGCGCGGGCCCACGACGTGGCCGCGCTCAGCATCAAGGGCGCCGCCGCCATCCTCAACTTCCCCGAGCTGGCCGCCTCCCTCCCCCGCCCCGCCACCCTCGCCCCCCGCGACATCCAGGCGGCCGCCGTGAAGGCCGCAGCCATGGAGCCCGCCGCTGTTCCGGAGTCTCCCGGGTCCTCGCCCCCTGCCGACGACGAGCTCGGGGAGATCGTCGAGCTGCCGCGGCTGGACGAATGGTTCCTCGACTCAACCGATCCAGGCTCCGAGTTCGTCTACCACCACGACCCGCTCGACTCGTTGTTCTGCCCGGACAGCGATCCTTACGGCGCGCCGTCGGCTCAGATGTCATGGTCGGACGCTTTGGTCCCAACAAACCTCGACACTCGTTTATGGGAGTTCTGAGTCACACAAATGTCAACCCTCTCTCTCTCTCTCTCCTTTCGAATGCCCTTTCAATTTTTCTGCAGGGCTACAGTGCTCTTCTCTCTTCACTCTCTTGTTAGTAGCTTCATGGAGCTCATAATGTCCATGCAATTCCAGATCAAATGCACAGTTGTTACTCGTTTCCTTTATGATGAAGCCTTCAGTTCACTGCCTGCTGTGCTTGCAGTTCTTGCTTCTTCTTGCAGAAAGATACATCAGAATCACCAATTACAGTTCATAAGCTTTGCATCTCTCCAGAATCCACTCGCCTTTGTGCTGGTTCTTTCTGTACCATAAGTACCCAATCACCTCTCTCTCTCTCTCTATCTCCTTCAACCTCATTGACAGAGATGACATTCCAAAACCAAATATTAGCTTCGTAGAATCGTTACCCATTCTCTCTCAAGATTTCAACACTCAATTAAATCGAGAATATATGCAGAGACCCGCAGACGATGTACAAGCAGTTACACGACGGGGGTGAGTTCCAGGGTATACGTACGTAGTTTCCTTAGGTGGTTTGGGTACGTAAGACAAGCAGGTACGCGTACGTACGTACGTACGTACGTAGTTTGGGCTCCATATCGTTACCCGCAAACTCAACGCGATTTATGTACAAGCGCGGAAGAGCAAATCACGTAGTTACCATAGGTGGGCCCCGACGTCGACTCTCCATTTACGACGAGGGTGCGCCTCACAATGATGAAGGGATCCAAACAACAGTTGCCTAATAAGCACGCAGGGATAAAGGAACAGTTGCCATTACACACAACGGTGACTTTAGATTCTTTGTTGCTATCTTTGCTATACCTAATAGCCGCCCCCTAAAGAAGAACACTAATCTCTATGTGCCCCCCCACCGTATATTTTAACTCCAAAAGTGGGAAATAGACATCACTATGCGTGCATTATAGGGTGGTGCAACTACCACAATACCTCCCTTCAAGTGTCATGTATGTGTTTATACTACTGCGCATGTAATTTAATGTGAATCAGGGTTTAGATATTGGGATGCCAACAAGAAATCCTAAGGTGTCAAGCGAATCTTTTTGTTCTTTTTTGTGTTGGCTATATGTGATTCTTCTTCTTCTTCATCGTGGGTTCCATTTTGCTCTTTGTATATTGATTCTTTCTATGTGAGAGAGACGGGCCACTTTGCTTATAATATATAGGTTGTAAGGCTCATCCACTGTAATATTGTAGATAACACCAACATGGTGGTGGCCTTTTCTTTCTTTTATTGAGAAAACAATGGTTGGTAATACTGACAAGTTTGATCATCTGTTTGGTATATTGACATGATCTAATTTATCTTATATAAAAATTTAGATCTCAGTTACCGAACCTGAGAGAATTTTGGCTTCATGTCATCTTCTTTAAGGCATCTCGGTCCCTCTTACGCTCAAATTAAAATAAATTTAATATTTATTTATTATAATAATTTTGATGATAGTCATTTCTTACGTAGTGTAAAAAGATATGGAATTCATTCAAAATTGACAATAAGAACATATCT